GGCCGCGGAAAGAAAAATCACTTCTACTGACACTGAAAACGTCGTTCTTCTTGAGAAGAGATTTCTCCCCCATCATCGTTTTTGTTCTGTCTCAGAACTTTCGATCCGTATGTCATGTCGTAAATTAAAGTGCTTTCCACTTTTATAAATCATATCCAGACTTTCAGCTTCTTACCGGAATCGGCAAATACTTGCTAGGAAAGAGTTACTACTAGTAGTCTGATAACCAGAGAGAGGCAATCTGCAATAAACACTCAATTCAAAATATTTAATTTTATTATTATCTGACTCCAGAATTATTTAGAAATGTTTGTTTGAAGGTACCGTGCTTCTTTCTGATTTTTGAACATGTTTTATTTCCTCTATTTAATTTTTAAAATAAATATTAGTCATTATGTCTTTAAATATCACGTGTCCTTTCTCGCTCACCTCCCTTTCTGAAACTCTGATTGCATACGTGCCAAGACTTTTAACTCTGTCCCAGGTTTTGTATAATATTTTTCTAAATTTTCTGTTCTCGTTTTGTCTCTCTGTTTTACTTTGGGTGTTTTTTTTTTTTTTTAATCAATTTTCACAAAGTTAAATATTTTTGTCTTCTGTTGTGTGTAATCTACTAAGACAACCCAAGGAGTATTTCATTTTAGATATTTTACTTATTAGGATTTTCATTATTTTAGATTAAAGTGATACATTTTTCTTTTTCTCTGTTTTCCTGATCATGTTGTTCATAGAGGTAGTTTTCGCCTACTAATGCCAGCATCTGGGCTAATTGTGGATTTCCTTCTTATCAATATTTCTGTTTTGATCAACTATTTCTGTCTCTTCATGTCTTGTATTTTTCTTTTTTTTTTTTTTTCAAATCGAGAATCGAACTCAGGACCTTGTGCTTGCCAAGCAAGGTGCTCTGCTGCTGAGCTATATCCCTGGCCCTTTCTTCTATTTCTAAAATGCCAGCTTTTGTGTATTAAAAACTCTGGAGTCCCCAGGGTGTTTATCCTCCTCCAAAGCAAATCCACCATGTCCTCTATTAGGAAAAAGTACAATATTAGCCACCTGAAACAAATCGACTGAATCAGACATAGGTTACAGCTTACCACAATTCGTAGTGCATGGTTCTGCAGGCTTCCTACTGAAAGCTCATCTGGATTTGTCTCCTCAGGACTATGAAATTATAGGGCAATTTGCTCTGTTGTCAGAGTTTATCAGCTTATATTTTCAGTTTCATGGAGCCTTGTACAGTTTTAGAAATTACCAAATGTCTTGAAGGGAAAACTGGCTAAATGTTGAGATACCTTACTTCTCCAGTTTTGTCACTTCATTCATGAACCACTGCCAAAAGTTAAAGTACTTTCCACTTTTATCAATCATATCCAGATTTTCAGCTTCTTACTGGAATCAGCAAATACTTGCTAGGAAAGAGTTACTACTAATAGTCTGATAACCAGAGAGAGGCAATCTGCAGAATTTCAGCAACTCTAGTCCTTATTCCAGGGGCAGCTCCCTGATCCTTTTTTAAGGATCATAATTTTACTTTATCGTAATTACAGCATGCCGCACACTGTCTTTAGTGTGCATAGAACATTCTCCAGGATAAAGTGTACATCAGGCCATACTTCTCAATAAATTTTAAGAGATTGAATCATGGAAAGTATTGTCTCATCACAGTAGAATAATACAATAAATCAATAAAGGGAGATAGGAAATGAACAAATGTATGAAAATTAAAGAGCAGGCTGTGAAATAACCACAGAGTTAAAGAAGAAATTATAAATAAAATTAGAAAATACTTTGAAAAGAATGAGAATGAAAGCACATCTTACTAAATTTAGGGGACATAGTAAAAACAGTGATTAGAGGAAAATGTATAACTATGAATGTCTACCAGAAAGAAAAAAGTACTAATGAAAAAAACATTAATGAAAATGAATAGTCTAGTGTTTCACATTAAGGTTTAGTATGTGTACTTACTCTCTAAGATGAGTCTGAATGTCATGTATAGCAAACATGTACTGATAAAAATAAATGTAAGAAATGAAATGAAAGAAATAAAATGAAATGAAAAAAAGAAGCAGCCCCAAATTATAGTAAGGGGAGAATTAGGAGGTAAATTTTAAGAATAGAAAAAATAATAAAATCAAAATAACAGAGATGATCAAAAGTTGGTTCTTTGAAAAGTTTAACAAAATCGGCACCTTGAGCTAAACTAAGTAAGAAAAAAATGGCTCAGATATCAAATTGGGGAAATATTTTACCGCATTACAGGAATTTTAAAATTGTAAGAGAAGTTGTTGAACAAATGTACATCAACAAACAACTTGCATGAGTTAGATAATTGCCTAGAAACACACAGACTTGCTCAAGAAGAAATTAAAAAATCTGAATGGAGTTACAACAAATAAAAACTTGAATAAGTTATCAAAAATCTGAACTAAAAAATCCAGGGTTAGATAATTTCACTGCTGAATTATACCTAGAAAAGAATTCACACCAGTTACTGCCAAACCTTCTAAAAAGATAAAAGAACAAACACTACCTCATTTTATTTCTTACATTTATTTTTATCAGTACATGTTTGCTATACATGACATTCAGACTCATCTTAGAGAGTAAGTACACATACTCAGCATATCTTGACTCTTTTTATTCCCCTTTCCTCCCATGGTCCTGCATCCCTCCCTCTCTGGATCCTCTTTTCCCCATTTTCATCATCGTTGTCATCGTCATCGTCAGCATCATCATCATCATCAGCAGCAGTAGCAGCAGCAGCCCCACTTTAGTTCATATTTGCTACATGTAATGATAATTACATTTACTTTGGGTAGTTGGTACCAGTGCCTGACACATCTTGAATCTTTTGAGGTCCCCTTCCCCACCTCTTCACCCACCTGCCATCTTTTGCTCCCATTGTCATTTGCATAAGGTACATCTCCCTGTTTTCTTTTATCATGTTTTATTTTACCTTTACTTTGTTTGTTCTTTGGATTTTCAAATTAGAGAAACTCTGTGGTATTTCAACTTCTGTGTCCAATTTATTTCACTTAATGTTGATTTCAAGGAGCATTTATTTTCTTATAAATGTCTCAAGTTTATCCTTTTTTATAGCCCTGTAGTATTCTATGTACAGATGCCATATTTACTTTACCTGTTTATTTGTTGATAGACACATGCGCTGCTTCCAAGATTTAGCTATTATGAATTGTGCTGCTGTACACATTGGAATGCAAGTGTGCATCTATCACTATAATATGGAGTCTTTAACTCTTTCAGAAAGATATCTGGAAGGGGAATGATTAGGTGAAATGGAATTTCTATTTTTAGTTTTTTGAGAAATTTCCACACTGACTTGCATAATGGTTGTACTAGTTTACATTTCTACCAACAATGTAGAAGGGCTCCTTCTTCACCTCAACCATGCCAGCGTTTGTATTATTTGGTGTCTTCATAATTGCCATTCTTTCTGGAGTAAAATGAAATCTCAGCATTGTTTTAATTTACATTTTTCTAGTAGCTGGCAAAGTGGAACATATTTTCACGTATTTGTTGGCCATTTATACTTCTGAGAAGTGTCTGTTCATTTCAGTGACTCATTTTTTGAGCGGGTCTTTTATTTTGGGGTGTCTTATTTCTTTATAGGTTCTAGATATTAGTCCT